CAGTCAGTGGTAGTAGCAGTGGTGGTAGCCGGGCACCATCTACCTGTACTGGACTCAGTCCAGTGGAGGCCTTGGTGGCTGTGGTCCGTTAGTCCTTTGGACTAATCTTTTCCTTATATCCTGTTCTCTTCATTCTCCCTTGCTACCGAAGGGGTGAGACCAGTGGAGTAAAGGGTTTTTTTGTTTTACTATCTAGTAAGTAATTCTCTCTCCCTCTCACTCCCATCCCTGGTAACCATCAAAGAATGTTGCTTTCTGTGTGTAAGCTTATTCTTAACCTTTTATAAAAGTGGTATTATACAATATTTCTCCTTTTGTGATTGACTTATTTCACTCAGCATAATGTCCTCCAGATTCATCCATGTTATAAACTGTTTCACAGACTCGTCATTATTCTTTATCATTGTGTTTGCCATTTGGTTCTTATTTAGCATATTCTTAACTGGATTTTGCTCTAAAGATCTAAGCCTGTGTCTTCAGTCATTGTTGCCAGCACTTAGCCTCCAGTTAAGCAGAATCTGTCAACTCGATAATGGAAGAAACCCTATATTTAATAGATTAAGCAGGGACTCAAAATGGATATGGAGCTCAAAGGATACAAAGCTCTTGTCCAATCCTAGGCTGCATGTTTAAGGCTCAGTAAAAGGCCATTCATAATAGGATTTATAGCTTATGATGCCTATGGAACCATCTGGTTGGTCTATCATTAGAATCAAAGCAAAAGCAAGATTTTACCTGCATTATATTTTTGAAAAAGCTCTCCTACTAAAAGAAAAAATAATCTCTTTTGACTTTGCAGCTGTAGTTATGCAGTAGCTGACATTTCAAAAGAATTATATCATGATATCCTGGACCCAGTTTTGATCTCAAAGCTTTAAATAGTTAGAATTTTTAATGTAAGGAAATATAGCTGATCATATGAACAGTTAGCAAAGAAGCAAATATGATAATTTTTCTTATTGGCCACCTCTGACAAAAGGTTGAAGTGTAACAAAATCTAAGAAAAAAAGAAAAGAAGGAAAACCTGGGTTCTACTGCCTATTATAAAATGATCTTCTTTGAAAACATATTTTTTTCTTATGGCAAGCTTTTCGTCATGGCATGCTGCCAGTGTTTGAATAAGATTTTTATCCTCCAGGTTGCTATGTGCGATCTCTCAGACTCATGTTTCCACTCTGCTTTCACAAATGAAAGTGATTTGGTAGAGTTACTCCCTGAGGTTTAAGACAGTACTGTTTGAACCAAATATTGTTATTTCAGTACATTCAGACCAGTAGAATTTTTGCTTTGATATTATATAGCTGGGCAGCACATAGATCTAATAATAATTCGAGATGCCAAGCAATATATGCAGGTAAGAATAAACTGAGAAAGAAAAATTCCATAAAGGAAAGGGAAAAAAAAAAAAAAGAAAGTATGGAAAAATACTACGACTAATTCAAATGGTCATATTCAATTGTTTTCCTTCAAAAGTTCCTAGAAAATTGTCCTATTGCAGATATATCTCCTGGGCATTGTTTTTCTCTTTATAGATATAGTTTTAATTCGTAGGTATTAGCACACACTATCTGAATATACTCTAGGGGATCATTTCTTTCTGCTTTTTAGCATTTGCCTGATTTCTACCACTTTAGCTCCTATAAGTGCAGGGAGTAAATCAGGGACATTAT